GTGTTCGGTGTTTAGGAATAAAACATGGCTTCAGGTTAGCTTTAGTAACCGGCCACATTATTATTATTACTAGGCAGGCTGAGAAGAGACAGGAAAGCACAATCAATGCCAAATTAATGCTTTAAATCTTATTTACCTAATATAATCATTAAAATTATTTTGTTTGTATGTAATCTGAGTTCAAAATAATTTGTAATGAAAATAGCTTGAGGCATTGTTGTTAATCATTTTAATCTGGAATATTTTAACCTTAAACATTTTCTTGAACAGCTAAAAAATTCATTTTCTTAGAATTTCAGATTCTGTAAATTATTTTAATAATATAGAAACTAATGCAAAGTAAATCTGATCTGGAGTGTAGTCAAAGTTAAACAATCATCAAAAACCAATTGATCTGTATTCTTATTTAAAACAAATATTTTAAGATCCTCGAGTGCGGAGGGATTTGTTTTTTTAAATAAAACTCCTACATATTTAGAAAAAAAAAATGCAATTTTAGAAGCCTGGTGTTTCTTTTTAGATACGCATCTGTCCTCCAAGGATAAATTTCAAGCTAAGCCCTAAAAGTGTATAAAGTATGACATTTTGTCAAAAATGAGTCCTACATATTCCAAAAAACTTTATTTTTCATTAAAACTTAATCTCATTAAATAAGACTCTTGAACTTTACACCCACAACAGACCGAAATATAGTCACTGCCGTCCAAACCACCATAGAATGAAAACAATTAATTTAAGAAGAGAAAGCTCATATGTTGTTGTTGTTCCTTTTGACTTTTATATCTCTTTTTCATTTGATAAAAGACACCCACATACATACAAGGAACAAAGATAATAATGATATCTCGAATGTCAACATAAAAAAGTATTGTGAACTTGCGAGAGTGGGTTGATGTCATTCATAATAATTATAAAATGAAAATTGGAGCTTATTATTTATTTATATATTTTCTAAATTAACTATTACAACATCCAGCGATATATGTTTTAATTCCATCCAAGATATATAGATGAGCTCATACAGAGTATACTTGACCATACTCGACCATACTATTTTTTGTGTACTTATACAAACAAAAATTTTTAAAATTTTCTATTTTCAAGTTTTCATTTAAATATCGACAGATGCAACAATATTTGTCTTAAGTCAGTTTCTTTAAATTATAGCAAAGCATTTGCAATACTCCTGTATCAACAAAACTTAACAGAAAGTTGAAAATTTTGCAAAACAAAAATTGAAAATTTTCTTTTATAGTGTTAGTGTTTTTAGAAAATTCAAATTTTTGACGTTTAAAAACTGCGATATTTTTGTATGAGCACATCTATATATCTTGATTCCATCTAATAACATAGAATAAAATGTTATTACGAGTATCTTGTGTATTTTTTAATGCTTCAGTTGCTCTCGCTTCTCTTCGATATTATTTTTCCTCCCCATATATATGAAATAATTAATTTAATAACCGTAAAGCATATTCATGTGCATGCGCAACTTTTACTTTATTATTTTATTCATGAAATTTTTATTTTTCAAAATCGATTTTGATTAAAAAATTTCATCAAAATGAAACTTAAAATGTATTTTGTCAAGCATGATGGGAAAGAGGTTATAAGATTACATCCACATTGTAGTTTTTATCAAAGCTTTTTCGAAAATTCCTTACTCGGAGATTTTTCCTCATCGTTCAAGGGCTTTAAAGGAAATGAATGCATATTTAAAATGCCAAGCATCCGGTATTTGATTACTATATTGCTTTTGAGAAGTGTATGAGAAAGTTGGGGTTTAAATAAACTTATGCTGAACTTGAGTTCATGGAATTTATAAAGTACTAGGCTATCCGGAGGCGCCCGTGGCGCCTCTTATCAGGGTTAAAATTTGATTACTATTATGTAAATAACTGTAAGACGTAAATAACCATAATGTTTTTAAGGTCAATCCTACCACAAAACTTCACATGGCCACAAAACTTCACAGGGGGCCTCACAACCCCCTCAAACTCGGATTTCCTTAATCCTACAAAAACTATATAAATGGCTTCACAAAACTTCACATGGCTTCACAAACCCCCTCGAACTCGAGCCCCCTTAATCCCACTAAAACTTTATGAATGGCTTCACAAAACTTCACAGGACTTCACAAACCCCCTTAAACTCGAACCCTCTTAATCCCACTAAAACTTTATAAATGGTTTCACAAACTCCCTCAAACTCGGACTTCCTTAATCCCGTAAAAACTTTTTAAATAGCTTCACAAAACTTCAAATGGCTTCACAAACCTCCTCAAACTCGGACTTAATCTCAAAAAAATTTTATAAATGTCTTCACCAAACCCCTCAAACTCGGACCCTCTTAATCCCACTAAAACTTTAATTCCCCCGAAACCCACCATGTCTTTTCACAAAGCTTCGCATGGCTTCACAAAACTTCACATGGCTTCACAAAATTTTATATGGCTTCACAAAATTTTATATGGCTTCACAAAATATTCCTGACACCAAACTTTTCCCACAAACCCCTTCAAATTCGGATCCAACCCCCCTAGCACTCCTCAAATCATTGGCTTCACAAAATATACCTGACACCCCCCTTGGCCCCAATCCCCACCAGACACCCACCTCTCACCTGACACCCACTTTGTCACTCCCCCCACAACTGACACCAACCCCTCAAATCATTGGCTTTATACGGCTTCACAAAATATACCTGACACTCCCCTTGCCCCATCCCCACCTGACACCCACTTTGCCCCCCCCCCCCCCCCCCCCCCCCCCTTCGTCCCCCACACAACTGCCACCCACCTTGTCAGCACCCCTAAAATTATTGGCTTCACAAAATATACCTGACAACCCCCCCCCCCCCCCCCCCCCCCCCCCATCCCCACCTGACACCCACTTTGCCCCCGTCCCCCCACACAACTGACACCCACCTTGTCAGCATCCCTCAAATCATTGGCTTCACAAAATAAATCGACACCCACCTTGTCCTCATCCCCCACCTGACACCCACCCCCCCCACCTAACACCCACCCCACACCTGACACCCACACCCACCTGACAACCACCTTGTCAACACTCCTTAAATTTTTGTCTTCACACGGCTTCACAAATGTCTTCACATTGCTTCCGTTCCAGAGTCAGTGAATCAGTGAGTTGGGCTTTTATATATATTAGATTTTATATGTTCAAAAACTCGATAATGTTCAAAAAATCATACAGATCAGTAAATAGCTCAATAGAATTTTATTTTATAAAGCTACAGTTATTAATCTCAATTTCACGCATGCGGTTGATAAAAAAGAGTTTTTTTAAAATGAATATAGGATTTTTTCAATGGGTTAGGGAAGAAGCTTATCTAAAATAGATTTTTATTTCATGCGAGTGCGGATTCGGGTCGTGATCATGATTGCCACAAAGCATTGCAGAAAGCAAGCTTTAAATTGATCTGTGTTCCGAGCGGTAAGAGACTAGTTTCTCGAGCAACTAAAGCAAAGGCGTAGCTAGAAATAGGTTCTTTGGAAAGAAAATTCTTTCAATTTGCTAAAACTTTTCAAATAAAAATCTGAAAACATTTTATTTTTTTTTGTGAATCTGAGATTGATAGTACAGCCTTTGACACCAGCTTAATAACAGTTAGCTTTACAGGAGAAATTATTGAAAATCTTCATAAATTTTTAATTAAATTCCTAAACATTTGAACTCGCGAAATTTCATAAAAAATCAGATTCATCTCGACGAGTAAACAATCGAAGTGGAAATATATTAAAAAGTATTCGAGATTCGCACGAGTTCACAATCAAAGAATGAGAATAAGATTTCATAGAAAGTAGATTGTAATTCAATCTTTCCAGTCATCGAATAGATAATTTGCACGATATATTATCATAGATGAAATGATTTATTTAAATAGCTTCATAATCATATGGAAGCTGGAAATTGAACCTTTCAGCCTTTATACACTTAAAAAAATCTCATCCGAAGATATAAAATTAAATTTGTTTTTTTTTAAAAAGGCTCAAGAAGTGTGTTTTTATTATTATTGGGAGATGTTGGTATTGGGATTTTCAAATGCCTTCATGCAAATTAGTAATGAACATTATTGAAAGAGAAGAAGTTTCAAAAGAAATTTCTAGTAATAAGCTTAATGAAATATACACTTCAGCAAACTGCTACAGCTTTTGGTTGGGGGTCGTTTGGTTATGACGTGTGTCTAAAATTGGATGTGGATTAGCGAGGAGGAGTAAGGTGGGTTTCGTAATGATAAGACAGGTGCCATGCAATTTGATGTGAGATTGGTAGCTTGCGAACACTGTAAACCTCTAAAGAGCTACAAATTGTAGCTACTAAGGTCATTACTAATGTTGCAACTAGGTTTTCTCAATTTCTAGGTTATGTTACATTTCTAAAGTTCGCTGTCTCATCTTAGCATTGACAGAGTGCAACTCTAGTAGCTTGTAACTAGACACCATTCAAGAATAGCCCTTCCAAAGTTCTATGCGGAATTTTCTACAACCCAAAACTCATAAACATTCGGTTCAGTTCGAAATATCATTAAACTAATACACGAAAAATGTGTTAATCCTTTCTCACAGCTCACATTCAATTCAATAAAAAAGAAGCAAATCCTTTTTCAACAACGACAGAAAATTTCCACTTCTATTCAAAAGAAAAAATTTACTTTCCTTTGAAAAAGCAATTTTGAAGGTCCTTCTCGCTTTTTAATATCATGCACAATACACAACATTACTATGAAAAGAGAGAAAAATGTAAAGAAATTTTCAATTCATTCGCTTATGCTTAATGGAATAAAATTCCGTTTTGTGAATTGATAACAGAAACGTGACATTTGAGAAAAAAAAAGCTATTGATAAGATTAGGAGGACGAGAGTATTGAGAGCCGTACCAAAAAAAAAATATTGAGCATGCACAATCAAATGAAAATATCGCGTATGAGCGCAGAGAGACTCATTCATTCGTGCCTACAAAAATATTCTCAGTCATAATCGACACTCGCGTAGACCAGACACTCATATACCACAGCTGTGATAACGCAAAAAATAGGCAAAAAAAAAAAATCCGCAATGAAAATGAGCAGCAAAGCGGAAAAGGTTGAAATTTTTGTCAATACACTAAATCATTCATTTATAGCTATCACGATATTTTATCTAACGTGGTACTGCTTTCATGTTGGCTTCACAGAACTCATAACATTTCACGTGTGGCTAACGACAATCGGCTATCAATTACTAATGGCAGAAGGCATTTTGGCAATGTATAAACGGAATACCTTAACACTGCTTGCTGATAGTAAAGGAAAGAAAACATTAATACATTGGATATTGCAGACGAGTGGTGGAGTTCTCGCTATAGTTGGCATTGTTGTACAAATTATTTCACGTTTTCGACTTGGAAAGCCTCACTTTAGTCTGATTCATTCGATTATTGGTAGTGAAATGCTTAATCATAGAATTTTTTATGGCTAGAGGTTCCAAAATGTTTGTTCAAGTGTTGAAGATTGTGATAAGAAATGGATAGAAAAAAGGGGTTATTAAAGATGTTTTCCAGAACACTGACTTGACATTGCATTTAATCTGTTTCATAACCGGAAACTATTTTGTTACGGTGTTTATAAAGAACAGATGTTTTTAAAAGGAGAATAATTAATATTATTTATGAATTGAATTGCTCGGTTGATATTTCACATTTATATAAAAACAGAAAATTTATTTTAAGCACATCATTAAATTAAACTTTTTATTATAGCTTTTTTGTTGGAATTGTGTACTAAATTATAGTAATTTGGTAATTGTAGTCAAATTGGTGAAAAAGCGTTCCCAGCTTAAGTGGACGAGTGTCGGTCACACGTTACAAAAGTCCCAGGTTCAAATCCAGGTCAACGCTAGTTCAGAATTTTATTATTTATTCTATAACCTTTGAGTAGCTAACGGGGTAGAAAATTGCACAATAATATTGCACTCGGCTTGCTAGTCGCTAGAAATGAGCACGATTCGATTTATAATTAATAAATAAGATCCTCCTTGATATTGGCACTTGATCGACATTTAAGAACCTCTAGCCAACACGTTTTACATTCTCATTGACTTGGAAATTTATTTTCTCTTCTCACATCTTTTGCCAGGCCTGATTTCCTTCATATTTCTTATCTTGTCGATTATCTCAGGATGTTCAGCATTATACTCGATCGAATTGAAAAGATATTTGAAGCCAATATTCAGTAAATTCATCCACAATTTATTAGCAATAATCGCATTTGTTACTGGAATAATTTCTGTTATTATTGCATACGACACAAAGTCATGGGCAAAGAAACATGATCCTGGTAATGTGAGAGTCTTAATGATGTGGCTGCTAGCTTTCATAATTATATTTACTTTAATTGGACCCATCAAAACTTTATGGAACCATCTAAAGACAATTGTGAGTAGATGAAAATTAAAATGGGAATGGAAGAAATTATCCTAACTTAATTTTCATTATGGAATCTCATTTAGACGAACATCGTAAAAAGCAGGAACAAATAATAAAGTCATTTGATTTGTTTAAAGCGCATTTTTGTATTTTTGTAGTTGAGAAAATTTTATTAATTTTAAAAATGGAAATTAGGTAGGAAATGATATTCATAAGCTTATGATTATAGTTTTTCAGCAGAATTGATGATGAAACCAGAACAATCAGTGAAGCCATGACCCACGCGGTTTGCTGCACAATTGAACGCAATGACTTTCAAACCTTCCTTGCAATAAGACCTTTAAAATGACAAAAGCATTCAGACGACATAAAACAAATAACTCGGTGGGTCAAAAAGCGACAATTTTTCAATTTCAACAACTCGCTCGAAACTTTTATTTCTGCCAACAATTTAAATTAAGTACGGTGATAAGCATGATAATGAATGATATAAAACTGAAATATATATCTTAAAATTTGAATAAATTCTCATTTTCATAATTGTTTTCATTCTGTCTTCTACTTGTTCATGGTACTCAATTTAATTTATTTGCTGTTATTGTGGGATACTTTACGCTTAATTTTTTTTGTTAAGGTGGAAACTTTCTCTTACTCAATGACTATGTAAAAAGAACAATAAAATGAATGACGGGAAAATTAAATTTTTTTTGATGATTTACATTTCTACAGACTCATTTTTAAATTGATGATGAAAATTGAGATGAGAATTTGCCAGAATCTCTCTCTCGCCTACGTTTGGGAAAAGTTTTCATTTTCTGCTTTTGTTTTTCTTTCTTTTACAGCAGTGCTCGTTGATTGAAAACAACATGATATAAATTTTTTGCAGTATTTAGCAGAAAACAGTCAATAAATTTAAATCAATATTGAAAAAGAATATTTTGAGGTACCAACAAATGATGTCTCCTAGAAATTTGGAATTTTATGTCCATATTTGTCTTTTACACAAAATATAGAAATCTTTAAGCTCGTGATTTCATAAACATAAATGTTGGGCTTTACAAGTAAGCAGTAATTCGAAAGCTTTATACAGAGCTCTAAGTCGGCTAAGTTTGCTTCAACTTCATCCGATTAGACTCAAATTTAATTAAAACAATAAAATCAGCTAGAACTTACTGCGGCATCCTATTTTAGGCACAGTTAAAGTTTTGTTAATGCCTCATAGCTTAGCCGACTTAAACAAGTAAATTTCAACTGAAATGGAAATTAAGAGCTTCATCTCGAAGAGCATTAATAGCAATTAGGGGTCGTTCGCTTATGACGTCCAACATTTAGGGGGGGAGGGGGGTCTGAAGCTGTGTGACACCTCAATACAAAAGATTTATTTTTTTATGAAAATTTTGTGACAGAGGGGGTGAGGGGGGTCTAAAAATCTCATTGTTTGATGGACGTCATAAGTGAACCCCTTAATAGTATTTAATAAAATTGCTACATTTTTGACATGTAAAGCTCAACGACTTCAATTAATTTAGAAATAAGTTTTTAGAATTTGTATCTTCAAAGCTTACAATGACAGTGACTTGTTTAGCACTTTGCCATTTTACTGGTCTCATTCCTAAGTTCAAAAACTGTCATTTCTCTCTTTTAATTTTCAGGATTTTAAAAAAATTAAATTATTTAACTCTTCAAAATTACTCTCTATGCCTCATTAAAACTCATTTCCAAGTTCCACTTAATGCTTCGATTCATAATGTTTATTTTTAGAGACCAACCAAAGATCGTGGGAAAGGAGCTTAATAATAAGAAGGAAGTAAATCGATGTAACAATAAAAGTTTTTCTCGTTCACGAACAGACATTTTTCTTCGTCATAAAGCATTAATCTGAAGACTTTCGTAGTCGATTTAAGGATTTGTATGTAAAGTTTTTTCAGCACGTTTACTGTAAATTATCAATCTCATCCACCTCCGATCAATTACCGACGGATTCGCGTCAGGATAGGTAAAGGGAAATTTGGTAAGAAACAATGATAAAGTTTTCAGGATCGATAAATTATTTCAACAAATTTACATAACAACGGTTTATCTTTGAGAATTAATGTTATGTAAATTCAAGGAACTGTATGCTGTATTGAGTGTCGCAATGCCTTGGTTTTTGGGTGTCATTTGAATGTTATGTGACGTTTAACAAAGTTGACAGTTAACTTACTTTCTCCTTCCTCCTCCGATTGACAAATGTTAAATAATTTGAAAAATTATTAAAAACCAGATTTTGAACCTCTGAAAATCACAACTTTTGATAAATCTCGAAGCATCACAAGATACACAATAGAGTCCATGGCTACTGATGTCCTATACCTTATACGTAAATTCCGGACGACTGCTTATGAAAAAATTGTTTTCAAAATAATTAAGATAATATAAATCTTGCTAAGAGTAATGCTAAGGTACTAAGTTGGAATGACTGAAATTTCACCACATTGAAAATTTATTCTTTTTCTTAATCAGTGACTTAATCTTAAAACATATTCTACGTGACATCAAACTTTCACAATCTGTCCAATTTTTAAGTATATGGAAAACCCTTGATTATTATTTTGAAGTGTTGAACTGTCGTGTTATGATTAGAGTTTTTTTTATTAAATGATAATAAGCAGACAATTGCTATCTTCTTATTTAATTAAATATTTTAAGACAAATAAAATAAAAAAACCCAAAATAACTGTGTGGTGTCTCAGCAAAGTGACATCTTTTTTACTGTGTTTTACGTAAGACAAATCATTCAAAGTCATAGTAAGGGTTGTATAAGGGCAGACATACCTAAAAATCATTGACATCTACTTAATGAAGTCGTTTCGATTCCCACAAGATGCTGATATATGAATCATTGTAAAGAGGAATTGGTGTATATGACAAAGATGCAAACAATGTACATCAATATTATGATGCAGGCAGGGATGGTCTAAGTAACCACACAAACACTCAATCCAGGTTTAACAATATCAATGGAAATTTATTGCTTAAACTTTTATGGACAAAACAAGAAACAGCAAACGTGACTTTTGCCAAATAAAATGATAAGCCAAAGTCTTGATTCAATTAATGTCAGTCCTGTAGTCAGGAAAAGGTGGTCGACTGACATCACAATCAATTCAACACCTGAATACGCTCACAAATCAGTATTTCGCAAAATAATCTCTTTTGCACCAAAAGTATAAAAACCGTGTGTCTCAAACAAAATTAAATCAGTCAATTATTAGTCGTGTAAATTGCTTAATTAATAAGTTCAAATAAAAGTGGTTTCTCAATCATAAATAGTGACAAAATGGAAAAGAATGAAGTTAATTCAAAAAATGCATCCATTTGGGATAAATGTGAAATTTTCATAAATACTGCAAATCATTGCCTGATTGCAATTACAACGTTTTATCTCGTATGGTATTGCCTACAAAATTATGAAATGACTGGAACGCTCACACAGCACGCATGGGTTACTGCAATTGGATATCAAGTGCTGATGGCTGAAGGCATCATGACAATTTATAAAGCCAATTCATTAACGTTTCTGTCATCAAAAAGAGAAAAGAATCATCTTCATTGGATATTACAAGTGATTGGTGGCACTATGGCTTTATATGGCTGTATAATTGAAATAATCGATAAAGAACGTGCCGGTCGAAGACATTTTAGATCCTTGCATGCAATTTATGGTAAGAGTCGTAAAGAAAACTTCTTTTTTTGTTGAACCTCACTTATGTATATTGAATATGTCCTTTTTCTTGCATTATACTTTCTTGGAAAATAATTTCTATGGGTTGTATTTTGATGGATACTTCCGGTTCGAAGTTGCTTGGTTTTCATTGTGGGATGTGTAATATTATTAAAAAGCTTCAAAATTGAAGAATGAGCTTGAGTGTGTCAGTGTTTCAGTAGAATAGTGTTGTGGCATGACACTTTCATGCAAAAACAAATCTTTTTTAAAAGACGGGTTGATGAGGAATTTAAAAATCCAATTTTTTCGATGAACGTAATTTATAAATGACTCTTAATTCAAAAAAAAGCTCTAATTCTTTTATTTTAATAACTTAAAAAAGTTCATTAATTGTTTTTGCGTCTCTTTTATCCAACCCCCTATGTTTGTCAGCTTACGATTTCTAGGGGATTATAGGATCAGTATGCGTTTCATTCATATCCATACATGCACAAAAAAAATTATTCAAACGTATTTTCTATTATTTCTCATTTCTATCCCGCAACAGGTCTCGTATCCATGATATTTTTGTGTATATCAATAGTCTCCGGGTTAACAGCTCTATTTTCATTCGAAGCACGAAGATACCTTAAACCAGTCATATCTAAGTTCTCACACAATATTCTTTCACTTGCGGCATTTGTGACTGGAATGGTTTCACTTATTTATGCGTGGGTCGATATAAGATGGGCATCAAGATATGATCCAGGCAATTTGAGATATATGAGTGCATGGGCATTAGGCTTTATTATATTTTTCTCATCTATCGGAGCTCTTAAGTCATTGTTGCATCAATCAATTGGAGTTGTCAAGTTACTTTCATGCAAATCAGACAAGGAAGAAAGTGTCAATGATAGTGAGAAGCAATGAGATTTACGTGACTAGCACAGCTATATAGATAACAATCTTGAGATTATTTTTAAAAAATTTATTGGGAATAAAATTTAAAGTTAAGTTTCCAGTAGCTTAAAATGAGAATTTATGATGTGAGTTTAGTGAGAACTTTGAAACCTTATAAAATATCAGGAACATGACTATTCATGCACAAAATTTAATGTTTGCGACGTGATTGGACGATTTTTATTATTATTGATTATTTTATATTTATTTTTCACGAGATTATTGAATTTCTTGCAACATGGAAAATGAAAATAAGTTCAATCGAATGAGATCTGGAAATTGAAATCGCAAGAATGTGAAAAAATTATGGCATGAAAATCTGATGAGAAAATTGAATTGCTATAATAAACGAAGATAATTTTGCAAAAAAAATCAATAATTTCATTTCTTACTTCTTATTCAGCACATTCTGATTCTCAAGTTGGATTGAATTAGATAGTTCTTATTTTAGTTTGGTAGAACCACAAGGACGTGCTTGTTTGTAAACCAAAGTGCTCTTAGTAAGATTATTCATGTTATCTGCTAATTTCTCTTGTTTGTTTAATCAGAATTTTATTACTACGAAGTGATTAGACAAACCACTTTAGAAACATTCAAGGATTGAATTGTGGATAAAGTTGAGACTTGTCTTAACTCAACTTAACTGTAAAGACGGAAATGAGACACTGAAAAATTAAAGGCATAATTAAATGTGGCTAGTCTTTTAAACCAAGTCAGCAGCTTAGTCGCTGATAATACAAATTTTTCAAAAAAGGTGCCTCCAAGCCATCCAGGAATAGGTTAAATTTTTTTAAAAAAAAAACGTAAAATCTAATTTATACTTTATACAAAAACAGCACCTGATTTAATCTTTTTTAAACAATCTCTAAGAATATTTACGTGACATGAAACTTTCACAATTTGTCAAGTGTAAGATTGTCTGTTAACTGTTGTGATAAGATTCGAGTTTTATCAGTTTTTCCGTAAATATTCACTAGACAACCAGTCAGACTTGTCCTTTATTAAAATGACACATAAACTTGCAAAATTGTGGCAAGAAAAGTTTGATTTTAGATAAATTCGACACTGGTTTGACACAGAGTTGCTGGTATCGGCAAGAAGTTGTTTAATTCAGCCAATCTGTTACGTCAATGAAGTCCTTGTGATTTTAATTAGAATCATTTTTGATCATTTGAGGTCATTAGGATTCAGAAAAATTCATGACTTTGTACATGCATTACATCTTTTCTGAACATTAAACATTAATTTATTTTTTGCATAATTCATATGAAATATCTCTAATGAATAACAAACAATGACGAAGAAACATCCATAAATTTGAAATATTTTCACAAACTTCCTAACTTTCTCATTCATCTTCCTTAAAAAAGCATAAAACTCTTTATGAATTGAATAAACAGAAAATAAGTAGGAATGAAAGAACAACACAAACAAAAAAAAAATCTTGAAGGTAACAAGAAGCAGAAAACGTGACTTATGCCAAATAAAACGATAAGAGAAAGAACTTGATATAAATCATATTATTATCATTTTGCGAAAAAAGCACTTTTGGAAGCACAAAACATATAAAAAGTGTGTGTTTCAAGCAATATTGAATCATTTAATATTGGTCGTGAAAATTGTTCATATTGATTCTCATCATTCGTTATTCGGTAAACAAAAAACTTTATTCAATCATAGCTCGAAAAAAAATATTGTGAACGGGGAGAAAGAAAAGAGTGAACAACAAACATTAATAAGTGACGATGCTGACGATGGATATTGATTCAAAAAAGGCATCTGTGTGGGATAAATGTGAAATTTTCATAAATACAGCAAATCATTGCCTGATTGCAATTACGACTTTTTATCTCGTATGGTATTGCCTACAGAATTATGAAATGACTGGAACTCTTACACAACATGCTTGGATTACGACAATAGGATATCAAGTTCTTATGGCTGAAGGCATTATGGCATTTTATAAGGCCAATTCTTTAACGTTTTTGTCATCAAAAAGAGAAAAGAATCATTATCATTGGATATTACAAGTGATTGGTGGCACTATGGCTTTATATGGCTGTATAATTGAAATAATTGATAAAGATCGCAGAAATTTGGCACATTTTGTTTCACTGCACGCAATATATGGTAAGAGCTTGCACAAATAATCAGTTATATTGTAAGGAGGAGCTTTGATCCCAGAACCTTGAAATAGACAAAAAAATGTGATTTAGTCATAAACAGCAATACTCCTTGCTACACTCCTCCAGATAATTGGACTTTAAAAAAGCACTCTTTATTAATCTTCCTTAATTCCCATTTCTATCTCGCAACAGGTCTAGTATCCATGGCATGCCTATGCATTACAATAGTTTCCGGATTAAGTGCACTTTTTTCATATGAAGTACGGAGATATATTAAGCCAGTCTTATCGAAATTCTCACATAATACTCTTGCACTTACAACATTCATAACAGGAATGATTTCACTTATTTATGGCTGGACTGGTACAAGATGGGCACGACTTTATGATCCAGGCAATTTAAGATATATGAGCTCATGGGCAATAGGTTTTATCATAGTTTTCACTTGCATTGGAGCTTTTAAGTCATTGATATATCAAGCAATTGGAGTTGTGAAATTGTTTTTGACGAAATCTGACAAAGAAAATAACGAAGATAAAGAGAAGCAGTGAAAAACGTATTATCAATACGTGATTAATACTGCATGACTATAATTTTGTAGATAACCATTTTGCCTGGAGATTAACTTTAGAGCTTAGCAATTAATATAAAAAATGATAAGCAATTTATTTATTTAGTATTTCAGTCAAAACTGATCATACAAAAATCTCAGGAAGTAATTAAAATTGCAATAATAAAAGAATGAAAGCTTAAAGTACACTAAATGAAAGTAGCTTAAACAAATTTTTAAAACTGCCAAGTAGCTACCAAGGAATTTTGATTGGGATATGATTCTTCACCTGAATTTGTCTCAGTAATTTTGGATTAAAAATGCATGACAATAAATAAACTAGACTTAAACTTGAAAAAATTCTAAACTACCAAACTTATCCTAAGCATTAATCCGATTTATGAGTGTTATCAATTTTTGAAATAAAATCCACTCTAGACAACTTACTACTATTAATTTGGTAGCTTATCATAAATGAAGTGATTCTTAGTCACTAAAGAACAATTATGGACTTGGTCTAGACCCCTTCGACACAAAACCAGAAGTTGTGGATTTTCGTTTATGAAAAAATATTTTAATGACTTGTTCAAAATTTATGAAATTTACATAATGATAAATTATCATATTGATTATTATTCTAGAAGCTTTTATCATATTTCTTTTGCAAGAAGACTCCATCCAATGTGAATGCATTGATTGATTATGATGGTTTATTTTTCCATTAGATTTATTTTTCCCATTTCTTTCAAAGTCAATCTACACTTAGTCCTTGATGTAATTTATCTTTCTACAAAAACTCATTAATTAAATTTCAAGTTTGCAGAACACTTCAAGAGTTCTTAAGGAATTTATTTTGCTGAACTAAAATCAATTAAAATGTGAATTTGCAAACTTTTGCAACATCAGCATTGAACATGGGAGTAGTTTTGAGGTGTTGAATGGAACTCTTACTTCTTAGATGAAAATTTTAGGTGTATTTCTCTCAAATATTAATTTTAAGTTGAGGTTTAAATCCCATCAAATCCCTGTACTCTACGCTTATACAGCTTCTAGCTTCAACAATGAATGCCATTAGATCTGAAACAAATGCTATATTTTATAGCGTCAAAGTCATTTTTCTCCATTCCAATCAGCTTCATCTTACACTTCATGTTGTCTTGTTGAGGGATTTTAGTGATTGATAAATAACCAAATCACACTTGATGCTACAAAAAAGAAAAATTCAGGATGAAGAAGGAATTTGAATGAAAGATTGATAGAACGAAAAGTTTTTTTGTGTCTTTCCATCCTCAATGTTTTTTTTATGCTTAAAAATTGAGATGATATCAAGTCATGTACTACTCGGAGACACTCATTCTTCATGCGATAATGTTGATGAGGGTTTCAGGGTTGGCAACTTTTCAATTTAGATTTTTTTTAAAAAAAATATATTCAAAGTTCAGCAACTTAAAGCATAAATCATCAAAACTTGCAAATCCTTCCCTCAATTTGTCACCCCTTCCCCTCTCTCCGTTGTTTAAAAAGGTTCGATACGAGAAAAGTGAACAAATCAATTTGAGTTTTGGCATATCGCATCGTGTAAGTCAAGTAATTTTGAGATAAGACGAAACGTGACATCTTAAAAGTAGAAGTGATAAATGAAGGTTGATAATGGAACTATATAATACTGCTTTATGTTCAATTGCTTTCCATTTAGTCTGTTGATTAAGTTTAAGACGAGAAGAGCTCTAAAATATTAGCTGGATCAAGTAAAATCCAGTTCTTTAGTTAAGTTTAAAATTTCTATAAAATGAAGGCAACAGAATCGCGGACAGCACTCGAGAAGCTCGAAATTTGCATAAACACATTAAATCATGCACTAATTGCAATTACGACATTTTACTCAACATGGTACTGTATTAATTATGGTTTTGACAAGCCCCACACCTATCATGTTCTGCTGACATCTCTCGGATATCATTTATTATTGGCAGAAGGCATAATGTCGATGTATAATGGAAATACTTTTACATTGTTCACGAGTCGATCGGCCAAAACAAACATTCATTGGATACTCCAAGCAACTGGTGGTTCATTGGGATTGTATGGATTCTTCCTCGAAGTCGTGCAACGAGCACAAGCAGGCAAAAAATTGTTTCATATTTGGCACGCTCGTTTTGGTATGTAATGAATGTTATGGTGTCCTTGTGAGAGTTTTGTTAAAGTTTTGGTTGTCAGTGGTGTAGCCGCAGTGTAGATTTCAGCCTCTCAATTGAAAATCAACCTTTGCTCAAGTTTTTCCAACCTCAAAATTATTTTAAAAATTATGCAAGGATAGTAAGTGATATTAAATATATACATAAGGAGAGGCTGAGAAGCCTAACAATGTTCATAATAGCCTCACCTAATATCCATCAACCTCAAAATCTGACAAAATTCTCTCAAAAGCCCATTGCATGGACACAGTAAATTTACATCGACCATAAATGTAATTTAGCTAATGTCCATAAATCTCTTATTTCTTCTTTCCTCACGTCTCATTCTCTCCATTATGTAACAATTATAGGCTTGGTCTCGGCAATATTTTTGTGTCTGTCTATACTCTCCGGATGCTCAGCGCTGTTTTCAGGCAAATTAAAGACCTTCTTGCGTCCAATTTTCTCAAAGTTCTTCCACAATGTATTTGCAATATTCTCATTCATTTTTGGAATAGTTGCGATGATAATTTCCTACAACACGCGAAGTTTTGCACGTAATATTGATCCTGGTAATATGAGATATGCAATGATTGGATTTTTATCATGCATCCTACTGTTTACATTAATTGGACCACTTAAAACTCTCTTCAGACATTTTGGCATTATGTTCTCATCGAGTGCAAAAAGTTCCGATTCGGATAATGGAAGTGCTTCATAAAAACAATGTTTTATTTCTATTAATTTAGATAATGTGCCAAATAATGTAAGCGTGTGTTGTAGTTTCTTATTATTAAAAGGAGGTCATTCGATTAAAACTTACTGCCGTTACATTGCTATGTGTCTAGAATTCAGGACAGATATAGCAAGTAAGAAAATTATTTTAGGATTAAGCAACGTTTATTGTGTTCATTTTTAAGGAAGCTTTCAATAAAAAATATTTGAGCTAATATAAAAGCGCTTTTTTTATTTTAGGATAGGCATTAATAGATCCAGTTTCGATAGTTTGTTCCTCAAAATGACATGCTGTTGTAAGTTTTTTAATTTTCGTCATCAAAAACAAACTTTACGATTTTGTTAGGGCGATCTTTAGTCATTTGTTGTTCTGAAGTCAACAGATAACGTAGCAGTGTTGACTATCGTTGCTATAAAGCCTGTACTATAGCTTAATAATGTAAATGTTCTTCCATGGGACTATGTGGTATGTCTAGGACAAATGCTAGCTTATGAACTATAAAATGCTATGGACAAAAATATTTCCTAATGCACTCAGAAAACCCTAAAAGACCACATTAGATGCTTTCAGAGTAGTTCATGTCTTAAAATACACCAAGCATGCTAACCCTGTTTATAAAGTTTATTTTATAGCTTTATGTCTCCCACTTCCGATCTGAACAAAATTCAAATTTATTCAAAAATCGATCGGACATCCAAAATGTATCGAATAAAGGAGATAATCCTTTAAAATAACACAAAAAAATGAGATTTCCATTTTAATATAAAAAATATGTATCTTGCCAAAATGAAGCCATTTTTAGAAAATGTTATGTGTTTCTGCTGAACATGCTCATATCGGTGTGAAGGAAATAATTTAATTTTAGGGACCGTAAACGTGGTTAAAATTTCATTGATTGTGGCTTCGGTAGATTTGTATTTAAGGGTTGACTTTACATGATAATTTTGGATGTTTATATGAAGTGAGGCATGAAGGTAAGTGTACTTTATGTTCAACTAAATTAAATTTCTTTGTGGATCAAATATTCAGTTTCATCGGGATTTATGAACATTCTCGCCTGAGGATTCAAAAAAAAATAAGTTAAAAATTTTCTTTAAGATCAAAAGCTATGTAAAAAATTTATCAAAAATTCTGTAGATGTATGAAACATACTTCACCTCATACCAACTCGATACGAAAATTTTAAGAGAAAAGACATAAAAACATCCGCACACACAAAAACATGAACATAAAATTAATATTCGTCCCCTTTTTCTATCTCAAAGTTTTCTTTGCAAGAAGATAAGCGTCTAGAATCATTTTGTCTCGATTTATGAGTAGCTTGTCGAAAAGTTTTGCATCGAGTCTAAAGTGTTATCTTAAATTGGATCTACATCTGTCCTGATGATCGTTCTTAATGAATATTTGTTGGATTTATTCATCGTTTACGTCCAAAATGCTAGAAAGGGATACTCAAAAGAAGTCAGTGTCATGTAAAAGGGTAAAGTGCCAATGTAGAATATCTGACAAGATTTTGACGAAAAAATGCTGTCACACTCCTTTAAAGATGCTTACAGACATCCCTGGCTGTTTTTAACACTTTTTAAATCTAACAATTGCTATTAAATCGTCACCCCTAGTAGGTGTCTCACACATATCCAAAACTTTCAATAAAAACAAAAATGACTCTCTAAGCCAAAAAGCATAAATTTTCAACGACATTTTTACTTGCTTAGTCTCTCTTGTACCCACAGTTTCCTTCCGAACATCTAAATACATTAATTTCCCCAAAAGCATTTTGCCTTCTTAATGTTTAATAAGTACAAGACAGACATATATTCATGAGCCCGTATGTTTTTAATTAAAAAAATATAATTTTTTTGTTTTTCTTCTTCTTCGTTGTAGTATTGCCATTTGTAGATGAGAAGCTTTGCTTTTTTAGCTCCGAACAGGCTCCGAAGTAATGATGTGAGCAAGTTATCGATCGGTTATGGAAAACAGAATAATTTTTGATATTTTGAGGTTATTACTGATGTGTTATTAAATGGATTTCCAAGAGAAAACAAAAATTACAAATTTAAGAGTTTATGGTTCGCTTTTTAAAGCTCCTCTTAAACTCCTCCTCCCCTAGTCTCAGATATATTATATTTATTCCTAATATTGTAGTCAATTGAATTTCATTCTAACCCTAGAGTGTCCCGTTTAGCCCTAGAAACATGCCATAGAAGTAACATTTTTTACGATCCCCCAAAAATCCTTTCTCATTGAGCTTCTGTGTTAGAGGTATTGACGAACTTTTATTTAAAGTGACTGCTCCATGCTTCAATTGCAAAAAATCTAATTTTTTTAACACACAAAACAGAGCATCAACTCTAATTCTCACAAATAAAATAGTTTCAACTTTAATGGCATTTCTATTCAGCACTCAATAAATTACGTGACTTCAGAAGCTCTACCGTACAATGAACATAAAGCACATAATTCTCAATACATTTATATTTTAAGTACGAGAACATAAGCATAAATGTCATCACATAATGATGGATTACATTCAACTAATTTCATCATGAAATATTCATTTTCGATAAAAGTTTCAAAGAATATATAAAAAGAATCGGATGGATGGATGGATTGATGCGGGGTTGAAGAATTAGAAGGATGGATTGAGGTTTCTTTCTTGCTTTATTAATGGACGAGCATTAACGTCGCAATATATTCGAGATTATTCATCCTTCTGCCCACGCTTGTTTTCCGATTTTCATATGCTTCATGAATAATTTTGCTTCGACGTTGCCAGTAAGGAACAAAAATTCATAATCAAAATTATAATTAAATTTATTTCCTTTGCTGAATGAAAACTTTTTTTGACACAACAGTTCGTAATTTTCGTGTCAACTTGAATTCTCAACAATATTTCGTCATATCAAAGAATATTAGATGAAATGGATGTGAAAGTTATCAAACAAAATGAATTATGGATTTAATGGAAGTGAGTGGGAAATAAGAAGAAGATATGATGTAGGCATAAAGTAATGTAAAGCTAGTAAAATATGGTAAGATAATGTAAATAATTTCCGGTACAAAACTTGAAGTGGTATAAAAGTTTGTTTTTCAACTTACTATGTTCAGATTTGCTTGATATTATGCCTTTATCTAGGCATACCCAGTGTTGTTGTTTGACTTTTTATTAAATCAAGAATAACTCTTATTCAGACTTGAAACAGCTAACTTTGGTCTTAGGTAATCATGTAGATTCTATATCAGAACAAGCTCAGCTTATTGCAGCTTATTACACCAGTATAGGTAGACGAAGGCAGAGCTCAAATAAGACTAGGTAGAGTTGACTCTAATTGAATTCCAACTTGTCTTCGAGCTCTGATCAAAAGTCTGAACCGTTAAATCAGAAGGAAATTTAAGCTGACTCTAATCTAATGAACCTTATTCCCAAATAAGTCATAACCTTCTTGAAATTAAATAATCTGACATCAGATTCAACAACACTGAACATACCGAGTATATTTTTTGATTTTACAATATCACAAAACAATTTGCATTGCCTAAGGTTATTAAGCCACGTGTAAATTTGAAAATCAATTATTATTGTAGGATGTGTATCTGCAGAATTTTCAGACTTGACATAAACTTAGATTTCTTATATTTATAATACAAAACACCCATATGAAAAATTAATGAAGAGTGCAGTAATTTTGGATGTTTTCATTCCATCCCAGAAATACTATGGACCGCCTCTAAGTTATTCAAAGCTTTCATTTCAGCAAATCCCTTTGAGTTTAACATGGCATATTAAAACTTTCATCCCTTGAATGCATTGTTCAGCATGGTCTACAATATTAGTTTTGTCAGCAAAATAAAGGGATATTTACTGTAAAATCTCATTTTCGTCTTCATAAACAAACTAATATGAATAATTTTTTTCGTATTTATGCAAAATACACACACTTAAATACATCCCTTGAAAAATAAAAGCTCAAAAGGTCAGAGCTGAAGAATATTTTTTTTTTGCAAAAACACTCTGGGCAACTTGTTCATTCAGTGATGAAATATAAAGCCTCATTTCTTCATGCTTTGATGAAAATACATGGGAGGTAGTCAGGGGTGTATATTTTGGAAACATTTGCTGCATCCTAGCGAAAATAAAGAATATCTCTATAAAGGAAGAGAGGAGGTAAGTTTCTAGGTGCATCCCTGGCAAGAGAGAAAAGAGCGAGACGAGGATGAGGAAAAAAATTTAATTTCTACCCAAAAAACCAAATGTGAGGGCGGTTTATGTAGATGTATGGCAGTAAAATAAGCAGCAACAGTTAAATGAACTAGAAACTTTTTTACTCTCTTTCTCATTCACTCTCTCATTTTAAATGGAACTTTTTTGACCTCCTACAGCTTCATGGAATGAAAGTAGCAAGGTTGAGTACATCAATTTTGATGCTACCCTACAGACATTTCATTATGCGGAGGTAAAACTCAACGTAACTGTATAGAAAGATGATAGATAGATGCAGTAGATATTCCATTGAGAGTTTGTATAAAGAGCTTCCTTAAATTAAATTTAATATTTTATACAGCAGTGGCATAAAATAAAATATAATGCATTAACTGCTGGATGGAAGATACATGCGTATATAAGACAATGAAGAGTAATTTTTAAATGGAAAATTCTCTTGTATGAGTTCACTCTTGTCAAACTTATGCTGATGATATTACAAGTTATTAAACTTCAATTATGGATATTGGGATATATCAGCATTGATATGTGTCACTGAAAGTTTAATCGAGTTTAAAAAATTCAAAATATATCGAACATGCGCTTTGGTGATGTATATTTGGTAAAAGATGTTAATCTGAACAGTTCCACAAAGTATGTTTAGTTTCAAAGATTTATACGCTTTATCTAGTTCTATAAAAGTTGAGATAAGCTTATGGTGGGCTGAAGTGGCTCGATGACGGAATAGTTATCTTTTTCGAATCGTGCGCACTGTTAATGAGGCTCACAGCCTGACTTTCTAGGCTGAAGGCAGAAATGTCATCAACGGAGTGATTTGGATCCCACTATTACAAACGTTAAAATCTTATTAATTGAGAAACGCTTAAGCGCACCTCTGGATAACAATTCATCTGAATAGATAAAGGTTTTTTAATTTATTCTAATACTTAATCTCTACTCAAACCAGTACATAGTAGTACCTGGTCTAGTACCTAGTCTAGTACCCAGTCTGGAACAT